AAATAAGAAATCCCATGAACTCTTCCCATCAGTTGAGTTGATGGGAGGACATCAAAGTGAGCTCTGGAAAAGGCCATCTATATTACCGTAGGGTTAGATTGCATCTGACTTCTGTATCAATCATACTGATTTATGCTGTAGGTTGCTTGCAGTTATCTAACATCTGGAGGTACAATTCAGGGACCCTGGTGATGTCATTTTGAAGATCAATGTCCCAGATTCTCTTTTACTACTGATTTGGCTTTCTCCGGGGTTAATTGACCTAAGTGTTCAGCAGATGGGCCAAGATTGCACAATTCTTTTATGCAGATATATTATACGGTGCTCGTGAGATTGGTAGCTGTCTGAAAACAGCAGAGGCATCAATGTCTGTAGGGTCAAATGTAACTCTAAATCCTGAGATTGGAATCCTAATACTTATTAGCTTCAAACATTAAAACTGCATTGGGAATGCATTTTGGGGCACCCAAGTCCTAAGGAAATGCAACCTGAATGGCTTCAAAATGCCTTAGGCTTGTATATGGGCCAAGTTGAATTCCAAATAATGAACAACAAATTGCCACAAAGGGAGGAAAACAACCAACAACCAACACCAGGGGAAAGTGTGTCTGAAATACCTTATCTGTTAACTTTTTAACTTAGATTTATTACTTTTAACTAGTAATTGTAACCTTGTTCTTAAACTGGTTTTAATTGTGCTTTAAATAACATTTTTATATAATGATATGATGTTGTTTGTTAAACTATGCAGAGTCACCTAGGTGAGATGGAAAGTGTGAATTAGAGAGAAATAAGTGGAGAGAGGGAGGAGAGGGAGGGAGGGAGGGAGAGAGAGCGAGAGAGAGTTTTTGTTTTGTCGCCAATAACTTACTGAATTGTCTTTAAAAAATAACCAGTCTTGGTGTACTTTCCTTTAATTCCTTACAGACAGTTTTGGACTCAAGCTCTATTTGAGAAACCAAAGCAGAAAATGTGTCCAAGTAGAGGATAAGAAGAAATAAACTTCAGTCCTAATGTTGCTCCACAGGAAACACCCATTTGATAAACACGGGTTCATAATTTGGGAACACTTTATCAAGTGCCATCAGAGTTTGACAAATCCTCTGCAAAGTTTGTCTTGCTCCCTTCTCATACCAATTATAGCATTTCACAAATGTCTCGAATAGATAAATAGCTGGATTTATTTAATCTTAAGAAACTGAATTTTCTCCAGATAAACATTATCGCAAATATCAAAAGCTTCAACATGTTTATCTCCCTGGGAATTTTTATGCCTTCAAATGAAAATCTTTCAAATCTTGAGACAGGAGAGGCAGTCTCTATTGCAGTCTGCCATGCTTTTAGCTATTATAAACAGAAGCCACTCAAACCATCTGCCTTGTTTCTCTGTGCAGCATTGCCGGCTTCTGTCCTAAAAGAAAATCTTATTTATTCAACAAGAAGAATGTCACATTCTGGCATAAGTTGCCTTTTCAATGGCTGTTGTTTTCAACTCGTTATTTGCTTTTAGCTGATTTGTGTGCTGTTGAATAAGCAGGCTCCAAGTTTTGAGGGCCTTCCTGAGTAAACTATTTTTGTTGCTGTTCTACACAACCAGTAGTACAATTTGCATCCTACACAGGTGTCAGCTACTGGACAGGCCCCCAAAGCGTGGATGCTGATGAACTATCAGTTTGCCCCAAGTAATCAAACAGGCCGTGCTGGGGAAGCGTTACAAGGGCAGGAGACTAAGCTAGTGGTCTGTTCTAATCAGCACATGGTTGCCGCCATTTTATTCTCTGCAATATTACCACAGCACATCAAGAGACAAATCTGATAGTGATTTGACAGTATTTTAGTCAGTTTCCTCTCTTCATCTATAACAGGGGTGTCAAACTGGCAGCCTCCTACATTCTGAGGATGCATGACTTATGATATCCTCACTCTTTCAGGGAAGTCTGAAAATTATGGGAGCCATATGAGCAGAAATACAAATGGCATACATAACATAGTTTTCTTTAATTCTGTCCATTACATTTTTAATCCCTTCCCCAACTGTAATGAAGTTCAAAGCGTTTATACTGAATTGCACTGTCTATGGAAATTAAGGAAGATTTAAAGGGTATAACAGAGGAAGAAATATGAAGAACAATTTTTAAAAAATCAGTTCTAAACTCTGTGAACTTTGATGAGCTATTAAAAAAGTTAGCCACAATTAGAATTTGTAATAATTGACTGATTCAAAGACTGAAGGAGCTAGGTAATATTTTAAAAAGATGAGAAGCAGTCCCTTATGTAACTGAGTTGCACAATAAAATTAAGAAATAGGTATGTATTTAGGTAGGTAGGTAGGTAGGTAGGTAGGTAGGTAGGTAGGTAGGTAG